GGGCGGGGGTGGGGAAGGAGGGATAGACAACACTTGTTTCCGAGGCGCGACAATAAGCGAGTACGACTGTTTGCTTTGCATTCGGGGTCTGGCAGGGCAGCAGGCCCTCCGCCCAGCAGCCTGCCCGGCGTTGTCGTCGCCTTGGCGTCTGCTGCCCCAAAAGTGGCAGGCCCCTACACCCGTCATTCGTACAGTTTTTGATGTTCAAACATATCTGAGTACTTTTTGTGTCTTTTACATTATTTGTGAAATGTACCCTCAACAGTTAAAACGTGTCTGTGCCTTAGACCGCTCTGCTGCCTTGTCCCGCTTGTTGTGAGTCCCTCTTTGATAGAACCCAAGTTGGCCTCAGTACCTTCCTTTGGTGTCCCTGTTGACTGACGGGACTGCCCGGGACTGCCCAGGACGGCCAGTTTCTCCGCTAGCCAGTCAGTCAGACCCTTCCTGGCTGGGCCTAGGCCAGACGACTCGGCCGCACCTTGTTGACAAAACAAGTGAAAGGGCTAGGGCATGGCGGGGGTGCGGCGCGTGGTTCTGGTGACCGGTGCCAACTTCAGAAATGTCTTTATTCTACACCCAGAAAATGCCATCCTTGAAACAAGGCGAAATGCTACGCATGAAGGGCTATTTCGAACGTGAAAAAATAGAATGAAATTTTTCTCAGCATAAGGAAAATGTCGTTAAAACAAAGTAATAGTTTCGTTAGATTAACGAAACTTTCATGAAAACAATGGAAATGCCTTTAAACAAGGATAACAATTTCCTTGTATTTTTGAAAATGAATTTAACCATACCACTTTTGGGGTGTATCGAAAGGTCTATGAGCAGGAGACAATGGGCTGCAAGTGGCGGGAGTGCTAGTAAATTATCAATAAATAAATAACAATGGTGATAAACTTTGGAGGGCAGCGGACCTACAAATAAATTGATGCAAATATTAAATCCTACTAAAAACTCTTTGTTTTCACAGTGCCCCTTGCCCTTCCAATCACGCGGGGCACTTAATTACAGCTGGATTTTCGTAAATTGCTTACAATCATTCGTGTTCGTGCCCGAGTCGTGAGCCTCCTGCTTTCCGCAATTTCCGGCCGCCCCCTACCCCGAGCGGCAGCAGAGCAGACAGCGCGCTGGGGACGGCGCGCCCCGGCCGGGCCCTCACGTCCGAAAGTGGATGACCAGTGGTCACGCCCCGCCCCTCCGCGTCGCGCCGAGCGCGCTGCTCTAGCTCATCCAGATGGTATGCATGACGCCGAGGACCACATGCAGCATCAGCAGCAGCACCGGCACCAGCAGCAGCACCAGGCTTACACCCAGGGATTTGCATATTTAAAACGGGTGCGAGGTGGGCTGCGCGCTGGTCGTGGTGCGCAGGCCGATGGTGAGCAGGGCGAGCAGCACGGCGAGCGGTGCCGGGAGGCGAGTAAGGGCGGGGGTTGCGCGGCTCGGCAGAGGCACCGCCAGGGCACCGCGCCGGGAGCATGAGCAGAACGAAATGAAAGGCCAAAGACGAGAGCGAAGGATTAGCGAGGCGACCTCCGGCAATATGACGGATGGGTCGATGGATGTTGGACGGGCGGCTGGTGACAACCATACACGAGTCTGGTCTCGGCCGTGCTCTTCTTGTGCTCGGGCAGCTCGCCCCCTCTCCTCCTCCCCCCTTTCAACCCCCCTGGTCGGTGGTGGTGGTGTTGTTGTTGGCCTCTTCGAGGAGGCCGTGTCAGAGGGGGGGCGGCCGCCGCGGTGACGGCGGCGGTGGCGTGGCGGGGAGCAGGAGAGCGAGGCGACTCTCGCCAAGTGCACTCTAGCGCCGGCCGATTTCACATGGAGAAAACAACGCCGGGAGACCGCACATGGCACGGGGGCGCGCCGTCCTCCTGCGGGGACTCAAGGACCCCGCCGAGGACAGATGTGCCGCGCCCGGGCGCGTGCCGTACAGGAGTTTATTGTCGAATGACGCTTTACGATGATAATGTCCCCGTAAACTCGGCCCTGCCCTGACCTCGTGACAGCGGAAGCAGCGGAAGTGCGGTGTTTGAACGTTCCCGCGCTCGTGACCCCGCGTTACACCGGCTGAGCCGCGTCAAACGATTTCCTCTTTCTCTGTTTTTTTTTCCCCTTCTATTTCGCAGATGTCGCTCTTCTCATGATGCATGCCGTTGTATTATTCAATCGCCCACCACTACTACCTCGCCAGAGCGTTTTGTTTTTCAAAGTGAGTGCGGGGTGGCGCGGGGGTCGGCGCGGGGTGGCGTGGCGGGGTGTTGTGGCAACGAGGTGGGCGGAGCGGGGAGGAGGGTGCGTGGGGTGGGCGCCGCGTCAAACGGCATCGCTGATTGAGAGCTCCGGACGAATTTCGTGCATCGCTACGCCGCTGTGAGCGTGCTAAATGCAAGCGGGGACCTGCCCGCGGCCCCCCGCTCTGGCGCTGGTCGCTGTGAGCGTCCCATTGATTCAGGTTGACCAATCGGAAGCATTACTAACAGGAAAAGTTTGCCCCTCCCCCCTCGCCCCTGATGTGGGGGGCGGGAGAAGGGAGAAGGGGGCGCGACAGCGAGGCATGCGGTATCTGGGGGGAGGGAGGGGGTGGCCGCGGGTCACAAAGACATCAAAGAACCGCGGGAAACGCCAGCCCGTCCCGCCCGCCAACCCCGCCCCTCCACGCGACGCGTTTCCCGCGAAGCTGCTGCTGCTGCTTTTTGCAATGTCCTGCTTGAGGTTTCGCCGAGAGGCGAACGATAGGGAAAAGAGGGTCGAAGAAGGGCGGTGAAGAGGAGAACAGGTTGCGGAAGGGGATGTGGGGGGAGGGGGAGGGGCAGTCTGGCGGAGAGGAGCTGCCGAGTGCGGATAGCAGAGATTCCGCGTCGTCGTTTGAGAGGAGCGCGCTCGGGGGCGGGATGTATTACTTTGGAGGGTTCGCGTTTCGCGTCTCGCGATCTCGTCGTGGAGCAGCAGGAGGGAGGAGGAGGAGCGGGTGCAGGCGCGGGGCGCTCCTGGTCGCGACGGATCGCGAGACTGGCGTGCCGACAGAGCGCTCGTGCCATGGACTATGTAGTGCAGGACATTGCAGCAGCTGCGTGTTCCAGGACCAAAAAGCTATCTTGTCGGCCAGGGGGACTCGGGCCTCTGGGTGGGGCGGTGAGCACGGCCGTATCGAGCTGCGCGGGGCCGGGCGGGCCGTGCCGAGCGAGCGGCCGTAGGAAGGGCGGTGGAACATCTCGCCCGCGCCGCGCAGCGCAGCGCCAGTCGTAGATGGGCGGCGATGGCGGGGGCGTGGTGGGTGGGGCGGTGAGTGGTGGGGCGGGGCGGCGCACGAAGCGCGCGGGGGTGGGCGCTATACTGTTTGTATTAAAGGCGACGTGTGCACCGCTGGCGGGCGCGCTGCTGGGCCTGCCTGACTGCTGCGGACGCACTTTATGCGCTGTTCTTATTGTTGCCGAGCTCTTCGTTCTTCCGTCACGGGCGTCCTCGCACCGCCACCCCCGCTGAGCGCCCCTCGACGACTCCGTATTCCCATACATGCTTCGGCGGCCACCCCGTCAGCAGGTGCCCCCCCTCTCCCTCTCGCCCGCACGGACATATATTGTTGCTGTGCAGAGTTTTGACAGTGTCGGCAAACAAAACAATAACACTGACTCCCGCCCCTGCTGGCTGTGGCCCTGCCCGCCTTGCCCCCCCTCTACCCCACCCCACCCTCCGTCCTACCCGCCGCCCTGGTGGCCCGGTCCTAAGGACAGAGGAGCCGTGCCGTTTGTTGTGCAAAAACGACCGACTCTGGGATCCGCAAAAGTTTTCTGATACTTGACTTTGACAATGGGAAACCACAACCGTCCGCCGCCGGGGCTGCGTGCGTGTGGCCTGCTGCGCCTCGTCCGCCCCGCTGGGGCTGGCTGTGGCTGGGGCTGAAGGGGGGTAGGGGGATAAACTACGTGCCCCGGCAGCTCGCCACTGGATTAAAGGGGGTGGAG